TATATATATATATATATATATATATATATATCAAGACATGAACTTGTTTGAGCAAAATATAACATTTACATAATATTACATTGAAGATAAGAATAGCCAAAGCTTAATATATATTTATTATTGTCAAAATTTGATCAAATTAAGCTAGAAATAAAATGGTTAAACAAGTGCTAAAAAAGGTACAAACACCATCTTTTTTATTTTATTATTTCTTTTTTTTTAAAAGGTAGTTATATAAAATTATAAAAATAAAATAAAATAAAGCATAAGGCTAGTGCATCAAAAATAGAAAAGAAAGCAAAACACTAATAAAATAGATGAGGTTGGTGACTAGGAAATGGTTATCTCTCTTCTTCTTTTTTTCAATTCTCTTCATAAATTTATAGTTTTCGGCAATTTCTAGTCTTTTTTTACCATTTACTACATCATGTTGATTGGTTGTGGGTATGAAGGCATGACTAATTTAATTTCTTTTTTTTTTTCATAATAAAAGAAAAAAAAAAATACCATATTGATTATATTATTTTGAAATTTTCTTGTCGTTTTTTTTACCTTTTATTTTTTTATTTTTTTTTGTTTGGCTAGTTTATTAATTTTATTTTAAATAAAATATTCATGATGTGTCTCGTATTTAAAAATTAATGCTTTGTCATATATGAGAATAGATTAAAAAGGAAACTAAAAATGAAAAGAAAACCTAACAAATGTAATTTTAACACTACAAATTCCTCAATATGAAAGTAAAATAAAATATGTAGGTCTCTCTAAAACAATAACATTAAAACTTTCAAAGGATTCCTTTTAAGTGGGATTCTCATCCCCTACCTTTAACCTTTTTAAATATGGATTTAGATAATAAAATAAAAAATAAAAAATATACTGATTCATTAATATAATATAATCATAGAGAAATATTTTATGTGAATTTTTTGTTTACATGGTTAAACAACCCTCAATGAAGATGATATTTCCCTGAGAAAGTCGAGAATTAGGTTTGAGAAGTGTGACATAATAAAAACTAGGGGTGAGCAAAAAAACCAAAAAACCGATTAAATCGAGAAAACCGGAAAAAAAACTGAAAAAATCGAACCGAAAAAAAACCCGATTAAACCAATTAAAATTTTGAAAAAACCAGCCGGTTCGGTTTTATAACCAAAAAACCGAACCAAACCGAAACCGAAAAAAAACCGAGCCAAAACCGAGCCAAACCGGAAAAACTGAGCCAAACCGATTTGAACTGGTTTTTCCCCTAAAAAACCAAACCGAATCGAAACCGGTCGGTTTGACCTGGTTTCGGTTCGGTTTTGGGTTTTTTTTCAAAAATTTGTTTTTTTCGGTTTGGTTACTTTTTTTTGATAAAAACCGAACCGAACCGAAAATGATCACACCTAATAAAAACCTGTCCCAAAACACAAATACTATTAGAATTGAAACAAATGACGCCATAAGGTCAACCATGATAAGTCAGATTTTATCTTTGTCACGGCAAAGATAACGTGTTTCATCACGCAAAACACAAGTTTATTTTATAAATTTATTTGTTATGCTTTTCAACATACAAAAAACTTATATAATGTTTCAAATAACCCTAATGGAATCCATGTGTGGGCTGATTTGAACCCACTTATAAAATTGATCCAAATAAGTAATAATAAGCCAAAAATTAAAAAGAAAATAATAGAATAATAAAAATTCAAAGTTAATATCCTAGATATGCTAGAAAATAATTAATTTTTTAAAATGACCTAGAAAATAAATAAATAAAAACATTGAAAAAAAACCCAAGTCATACCCATAGAACAACATCAAATAATGAGATTAAAAAAATATATTATAAAAAATCTTAAGCAACCCTTATTTACTTGACTAACCCACAACCTTGGATAATCCTAGAGGAAAGAAAAAGAAAAAGAAAATAGAAAGTTCAAGGTTCAATAGTTTAATGTCAAAGGATGAGATAATATTTTTTTTAAAAAATAAAAATTAAATTGGATTAATTTCAAAACCAACAACTCTAGTAATGAGACCAAAATGACCCTACAGAAAACAAAAAAAATTTCGAATAAAACTTCTTAACCATAAAAAAAAAATAGTAATCAAAATAATGAAGATCTAATTGGTATAAAAACTAATGAAAGAAAATAATGAGGGACTTAATTGAAAAATAAAAAAATAATAAAATAATAAAAAATAGCAATTAAAAAAATGAAGATCAAAATTGAATAAGAAAAAAAATAAAATAAAGTGTTGAGGGAAAAAATTAAAAGAAAAAACAAATTAAAAAAATAAAAAATAATTAAAAGAATAAGGATCAAAATTAGATAAAAAAATAAAATAAAATATTGAGGGACTAATTAAAATAAGAAAATAAATTAAGAAAAGTAAAAAAAATTAAAAGATTGAAGACTCAATCTGAAAAAAAAAAGATATAAAAATAAAACAAAATCAAATAAAAATAGAAGAAATTAAAAAAATCTAAAAAAGATTCTAAAATTAAAAAAACCAATTAAAAATCTATAATTAAAAAATAAAATAAATGGGAGAATTAATCTTAATCTTCGCATGACCTAACATGAATTTCAAAATATAGAAAAAGAAAATCAAGGGAGAAAAAAAAAATAAAATCAACCACCGTGATTTAAGCAAATGTGCCGCTTTTATAAGTTTCTCCCTTACTAGACGCTTCGAGCGACAATGCAATTGAGCAATTTTGGTCATTGCAAGCATTGCTCGAAGGGTGAGTGAAGTTCATTCTCTGGCATGCGCTGCGCACGGCCACCAACCTTTATTATTATTATTTATTATAAAAACACTAATTTTCCTTTAATTCAAATAGAATATAACTAAAAAAACATAAGAAAAATATTAAAATATCATTTGATTCAACTTTTGTTTCGAAATATCTGGAAGTAATATTTTTTTAATTTTATTATATCAAAATAACATGGAAACTGAAAAGGAATTAATTTACAAAAATAAAAAATTTCAATTCTTTTTAAAATTCTTTTAAAATTCAAAAATGGTCAGGCTATCTGATCATCATGTTACTTTCATCACAGTTGAGTTCTTCCTTTTGCTCAATTTAAAAAAAAATAATTAAAATCCATGGCACGCCTTTAGTTACAGGCAGAGGGTAGTGAGAGAAAAAATATCTTTACACTATTTTGGATATTTTACATGCTTTCTTTTTAAAATATGTTTGGTACAATAGTTTTTGTTTTTGTCTAACAGCAGAGAAAAAACTGTATGATTATTTAAATAATTTATGTTTTTTTAACCTGACTTATATATAATTATATTTTAATTTTTAATTTTATAAAAACTAAAATAATAATAAATTCATCTCATTATAATTTTAATAAAATATTTATTTTTAAAATTTAATTTTAATATAATTAACATTTTAATTAAAATGAATTTGCTTCCTTCCCTTGTATGGTGCCCTAAACGGGGACCTAACAACTCTCAACATCACCTCGAGCCTTTCAGATTAGATCAAACGCCTTTCTAAAGGAAATGATTCATTGGAGTTTATTACATTTATCATCAACACTGTGTGTACGCGTACATGGACATTTTTGTGATTTCCAATTGTACCCTTAGTCTTATCTTCTTTTTCTGTCGGCTTCCATTTCCTTCGCTCCACCTCTGAACCTATAAATATGGCACTTGTTTCCTTCCTCATTTCATATCAAAAACCATTTCAAAGAGAGAAAAAAGAAGAAAGAAATACACACAATGGCAGGAATCATGCACAAGATTGAGGAGACTCTGAACATTGGAGGCAAGAAAGATGAGCGTAAGGGTGAGACACAAGGTGGGTACAAGCAACAAGATCACAGGGGCGAGGCTCACACACAAGGTGAGAGCAGGGAAGGGTTTGTTGGCCAGATGAAGGACAAGCTCCCGGGGGGAGGCGGTGGCGGTGTCGGTGGCATGACGCAAGGTGGGTACAACCAACAAGAGCACAGGGGCGGCGCACAAGGTGAGCGCAAGGAAGGGGTTGTTGGCCAGATGAAGGACAAGCTCCCGGGGGGAGGCGGTGGCGGTGTCGGTGGCATGACGCAAGGTGGGTATAACCAACAAGAGCACAGGGGCGGCGCACAAGGTGAGCGCAAGGAAGGGTTTGTTAGCCAGATGAAGGACAAGCTCCCGGGGGGAGCCGGTGGCGTGCACGAGACACAGGGCGGGTACAACCAACAAGAGCACAGGGGCGGCGCACAAGGTGAGCGCAAGGAAGGGTTTGTTGGCAAGATCAAGGACAAGATACCGGGCATGACGCAAGGTGGGTACAACCAACAAGAGCACAGGGGCGGTGGCGGTGGCGGTGTCGGTAGGTTTGTTGGCCAGATCAAGGACAAGATACCGGGCATGACGCAAGGTGGGTACAACCAACAAGAGCACAGGGGCGGCGCACAAGGTGAGCGCAAGGAAGGGTTTGTTGGCCAGATCAAGGACAAGATACCGGGCATGACGCAAGGTGGGTACAATCAACAAGAGCACAGGGGCGGTGGCGGTGTCGGTATCGGTGGCATGACGCAAGGTGGGTACAACCAACAAGAGCACAGGGGCGGCGCACAAGGTGAGCGCAAGGAAGGGTTTGTTGACAAGATCAAGGCCAAGATCCCGGGGGGTGGCGGTGGCAGTGGCGTCCGTGGTGAAGGAAGAGAGAAAAGGAAGGACAAGAAGAAGAATGATGATGGCCATGGCAGCAGTGACAGCGACTAAAAATCTTGCACTGCTTCCATGCATTAGGTATATACACACATATTTTTTCCCTACTATCATGGTTTTTTGTCTTATTTTTTTCGTTATTTATTTTCCCATTATTTTTTCTTTGCTTTGTTGCCTCTAAGATCATAAACTAATTACATGTACGTAGGACTTGTTGCATGCTCTGCTTCTTACATTATGTCAAAGTCAAAGCTCAAAAATGGTGAATCGTTTGTTACATGCACGCTCTGTTCTTCCATGTTTTTGATTTCTAACGTATCCTTCTGTCTTTGCAGGTGTGGAGGAGGTCGAGGTCCTGTCTACCAGTGTTGCAGATTATCACTAGAAAAAAGAAAAAAAGAAAAAAGAAGCTGTACTGTTCAATATTTTGTATCTTTGCTTTAAGTGGTGTTGCTAGGCAGGGAAGACTGTAAACCGAAAATGATATTATAATAAGATAATAATTACTACTAACACTATGTTTTATAATGTGTATGATTTTAATTTGTTCCTGAAAGAAACTGTTAAACATACGTGGAATATACCTGCTATGGTACAGAAGCTCACCATATAGGAGCTATACACGTACATGCAAGCTATGTTCTTCCTTAAAATTGTTCTGCCAGCGACAATGGAATGAAACACATGGAAGGGCTGTAAGAAATTTAAGGATTATATTGAAGAAAACTCACCCATCATAACAAAGTTTGTCTGAACAGTTTTGAGATTTATTTACTAGAGGTGAAAACACGCACACCCGCCTCAACGAAAAAAAAATAAAAATCGGACACGGTATATCTCCGTTCTTGTGCTCTGTCGAATCAATTTATTAACGCGTGGTTTTTATTATCCACAAATTAATAAGTCTGGATTTAGATTTTGTCCAAAAGGGGGACAATATGCATATACAACTCGAAAGTCCAAGGCGCTAGCCGTATAAATATTTATTTTTCTCGTTTTTATTTTTTATTTATAATTCTCAACGTATATTTACTTGTATATTTCCATGTTGATAATGATACATCCTCTACCGAATAATATGATCCTTTCAAAGGTTAAATGGAATACTATTATAGCAGTCTCAGTGGCATTAATGTATTATGGAGATAGTTTTGGCATCCCAAAAAAAAGAAATTCGATTATACAAAATATCTTCTCTAGGGACTAAATGCTCTAGGGGTCTGAAACGATTGTTAAATTGCAATAATTCACAGTACAGGGATTAAAATGAACTTTTTTGGATCTAAAAACATTAAAAAAAATACTTTTGAAAAGTTAAAATAAATGCAGCCTAGAAGAAGCAGCAAGAGAACCTATCCCCTTCTTCCCGGAAGTGACATAAAGGAAGCTAGTACATAGTTATAGGCTGCTGCAGGCAACTCCCCCACGAAGCGATCTTTTTATAGTTTCGGGTCGAAATCCAGCAGCCAGTTGCTGGTTCTGAATACCCAGCCCAGCAAGAAGTTCAATTCTTCCATAACATAACTGGGCGGGGTTGCGCGCGAGCCGAGTGACGGCCGCACAATATCCTTTCCTCTGTTCTTTCTTCCTCGACTTAGCCAAGTCTTCTCTTACAGGTCTTGTCCCCCTCTTCTTATGTCATGGTCGAACTTCTCTTCGACCCTTTCCTTTGGCCTTGCTTTTACCTTTCACGGAAACTGCATTTCATGATATATTATCCTGAATTGACTGATCGGTCACCAGTTAAAGGCCCGGATCTTTTCCGGTGTACTTCTCTATATTATCCTGGATTTAGAGAAGGGGGAAACTCTTTAATCAAATTCTAAAAAAAGAATTAAATGAATTAAATCTTTATACCGTAATTGAATTTCTCTCAAGCAAATAAAACATTAAACAAATCCTTTAGACACAATATAGAAGCCGAAAGGAGATCTCACTCATACTGTGGACCGGACTGCTCGAGATCAGAAAAGACAATAAAATTAATTTATAAATTCAGAACCCAGCTATTTGTGGACCGGACCTATTAGTTCTGGGCTGCTGCTGCATAAACTTCGGATTTTGACTATTAAAAGGTTTAAAGCTTACACAGGTTTAGTTGGCCACATGAGTGTCTTGTGTTTGATATTATAATAATAATTATTTTTTAAAATTTATTTTTAAAATATCAAAATGATATAAAAATATAAATGAATAACTTGAAGAAAAAAAATTCAAATTTTTTTAAAGCAAAAAAAAAGATGCCAATTGTATAACCTTTACATCATAATGAAATGTTAGAATTTTTGGGTATATGCATTTTTTTTTTAAAAAAATGTAACTTGGTTTTAAATGCAAAATAAATATATTGTTAAGATCTTGTATTTGTTAAATACTATATTTATTTTATTTTATTTATTAAGAATAGAATAATATTTTTAGTATAACTTATATATAATTTCTTTGTATTTAGATTAAAACAAATTAACGAGAATTCCAGCTTTCTTCTTTTTTATATTTGTATTTTTTTATATTAATTTGAATTATTTTAACAATATTGAATGCTAAGGAGATAAAATTATCATGTAGGTATTTCTTTTAGATTTGATAATAATCTTGTTGATTAGAAAATATATATTTTTTTCTACTTTTTTCTTTGTTGATTATCATTTTTATGTTATAATAAACATAGATAGTAATCTTGCTTTTATTTAGGAAGTTGTAATACTATATAATATTTAAATTTTTCTGAATTCAATAATGAGTGATTCTTTCATATTCAAAGTCAAAAATTAAGATTATTCATTTAGTAGAAAAGAAAGACTTTTTTTCAATACAAAAGGATACAATTTACTTATTATTATTGATTTTTCTAACAACTAAAAAGAAAGAGAGAGTAGTGGACATTCATCAAGTCTTGATTATAGCATAAATTGACTACATGAAGCATCACAAGGCGTCAAGAAAGGATCAAAAGGCTATAAGAACAATATCAACAATAAAATATTTGTTTCAAACAAGTATTATAAGCACTTATTTTAATTCAATAAGGTTTGGAAAATATAAATTATCAATTTAGAGGATCATCTTTGTTAATAATTAATATTATAGTTTGTCTCACAGCTTGTTTGGGCAAACTAGAAAGCCCAGTTCAGGTTCACAAGTTAATTTTTAATCACTTAATTTCATTTAGATCCAAAATGATTATAAATTAAAGTAAATGATCAAGAATATTTAATAGTTAACTCAATAGATTCTCATATTTTGGTCATTATTGTCATATTTTTTTTCTTTTATACTTTATTTTTTTAATAATTTATACTCGATTTATTTATCACCATTTTTTTATATGTTTGTTTTTATAATATCATTTTAGTGTGTGTGTGTTGTGTGTGTTTGTATATATATATATATATATTGAATATTTATAACTCGACACTTGAGCTATTTATACCATTTTTTTTATTCTTATCTTTATTCTTTTGTAATTTGTTTTATAAGTTTTGTTCTTTACACTCTTTTTTGAAAAAATATTATACAAATACTAAGAAAATGATGTTTCATTATAGCAATTGCAACATTATTTTATTTTTCTGCTATATTAAAAATTAGTTTGGGATCTTACATGTTTTTATTAACACATATTATCTTTACTATATTTTATTATATTTAAGCATCACTTTTTGTTTCACGGTTATATTTTTTAGTGCCAGAAAAAACATTAATAACACATACACATTAATTCTTTGTATTAGAAAAAAATTATTTAACCCATAACAAGGAGAGTTGAATATAAGCTATAACACTTTGTTTTTTGTATTTATTCGTATAGATAATTCTTAATGTATTTAATTAAATGCATGCATAGACTTTTTTTATTTTTAATTAGAATTAAAAAAATATATTTGAAAAGCTTGTATATTTAGTTTTTTACTCAAAATATTATCCAACCCGTGGCGGCAAAGGATATGAGGAATAATAATTGTACCATGTTTTTTTGATATCCATGATAAAATGTATGGAAAATAATCAATAAAAATCTATATGGTGATTTTATTTATCTTTAAGAATTGTCATCCTAATTGGTTTTGAGGATCACATGAATTAAAAGCTATATTCATAGAGTTGGTACTGAAATCTCATATATATAAAATGCTTTGTAAGGTTCAAATACAAGGAAGGTTTTATTTTCTTTCTATATTTAAAGCATAGCTACTGCTTTGATGCTAATATAACAAAAAGAGATATGAACTTGTTTGAGTGAAATATAACATTTACTTAATATTATCTTAAGATAAGAACAGCTAAAGCTTAATTTATATTTAGTATTGCAAAAATTTGATCAAGTTAAGCTAGAAATAAAATGTCTAAACAAGTACTAAAAGAAGTTACAAACACCATCTTTTTTTTTATTATTTCTTTTTTTTTTTGAAAAAGGTTAAGTTGTATAAAATTCAAAAAATAAAATAAAATAAGGCATAAGGCATAAGGCCAGTACATTAAAAATAAAAAAGAAAGCAAAACGCTAATAAAATGGATGATGTTGCTGACTAGGAAATGATTCTCTCCCTCTCTCTTTTTCAAGCCTCTTCGTAAATTTATAGTTTTTGGCACTTTCTAGTCTTTTTTTCCCATTTACTACATCATGTTGATTGGTTGTGGGTATGAAGGCATGACTAATTTAATTTCTTTCTTTTTCTTCCTAATAAAAGCAAAAAAATAAAATCAATTACCATCTTGATTATATTATTTTTAAATTTTCTTGTTAGTTTTCTTTACCTTTTATTTTTTTTATTCTTGTTTTAATTTTTATTTGTTTGGCTAGTTTATGAATTTTATTTTAAATAAAATATTCATGATGTGTCTCGTATTTAAAAATTAATGCCTTGTCATATATGAGAATAGATTAAAAAGGGAGCTAGAACTGAAAAGAAAATTTAACAAATGTAATTTTAACACTACAAATTCCTCACTATAAAAATAAAATAATATGAAAATAAAATAAAATATATAGGTCTCTTTAAAGCAATAATCTTATAACTTCTTCCAGAGGTTTATTTTCTAGTGTGATTTTCATCCCCTGTCTATAATCTAAACATGGACTTAGATAATAAAATAAAATATATAAAATATACTGATTCATCAATATAATATGATCATAGAGAAATATTTGATGTGAATCTCTTGATTACGTGGTTAAATAACCCCCAATGAAAATGATATTTCCCCAAGAAAGCCAAGAATCAGGTTTGAGAAGTGTGACACAATAAAAACCTGTTCCGAGACACCAATACTATTGGAATTAAAACGAATGATGCCACAAGGTCAACCTTGATAAGTTAGATTTTATTTTTATCGCAATAAAGATAGCGTGTTTCATTACACAAAACACAAGTTTATTTTATAAATTCATATGTTCTACTTTTTCAACATACAAAAAACTTATATAATATTTCAAATAACTCTAATGGAACCATATGTGGGCTGATTTGAGCCCACTTATAAAATTGATCTAAATAAGTAATAATAAAACAAAAAATAAGAAAAAAATAATAAAAATAATAAAAATAAAAATTAGAAGAAAATAATAAAAATAATAAAAATTAAATCTAATAGATAAAAAAAAATTAAAAGATAATGAAACTAAAATAATTATAATTATAATTTCATAAATTATTTCAAATAAAATAAGTAACAATCAAAACCTTGTTTTGCTTAGTTTTCTTGTTTTACATGGACAATTAATGAAGAAAATCTTCTTGTTTTATACTTGCCAATTTATTTTCCTTCCTGAACTAGGAGAATCATTAACTAATCCTTTATAGTTTAGGAAATCAGATCTGGCAACTTCCCTAGCATCCTTTTTTATAAATTTTCTTCTAAATAATAGTTAAAATAATGGACAAAATTTCCTTGAATTTTAAGAGAGTATTTTGCTGATTTAAGCTCTTGTAGAATTAGAAAATCAATCCAAAACAAATATGATTTAATCTGATCCTAACATATTAATTAACTCAAGTTAACTTTGAATCCCATGTGATTTAAATCCATATTCATTAATAGAGACCAAACTAAACCCAAAATACACTACAAATAAGCTTTCTTTGTTGTCATAAAACATTTCATGCATAACTTGTCTTGATATAGTTGAATTACCCACAAAAAAAATTGCATGAACCCATCATACATAAGAACCTTAATCTGACCGAATGCATCCCTAGGTAAAGACCCATCATGAAAAACCCAAGCTAAATCATATACTATACCGTATCAACAATCAGTCTCAAACACATAACTGAATGCTTACTATAAAGAATTTACGGCTTAACCTGAATTTATATCAACATTAGACTTTATTAAAATAAAAAGAAATGAAAAGGAAAGTGATGCTTTGACCAGGTAAATCATTTAGTTGGTTTAGTATAGACTTTATAATGCTAAACTACCATGTGAAGCTATTGGAATCTTCTTCCTCTTGATCAGTTTTTGCTTTGTTGGTTATCGTTTCTCAAGATCTTTATGTTATTGTAATGCTTTTGTAGTAATGTTAGCTCCTGCTTGATACTTTCAATAAATAAAAAAGCAATAGATAAAATTTAGCTCATTACTCAATGCATATATAATAGTTTAGAACGTAGATTGTTGCATAATTAACCATCATCAACATGAATTCGATTGACTCAATCTTGCTCATAGCAGAACAAATCAAGAAAAATGAACTTTTTCATTCGACTTCTTCCCATATTTACAATAAAGACTAGGAAAATATGATGAGTTCTTGTGATGACTAAGTTTCTTGATATACTTGGTATTGTCACATATTAGTTAGGATGCTGCCACTTTACTCATTAACATGCATTAGCACCTTTGCTTTCATACTTTATAAATTTCAAAAACAAAATACATAAACCATACTAGAGACAGAGATCTTCTCTAATTTTCCATTACTAAAAGACAAACACCAACTAGACACTATAACTCAAGTTCTTCTAGCCCAAGAGGAGTCTACAATTTCTATTCTTACATGTTCTTGCAACAACAACAAATTAGTTAAGACAAAGATGTTTTCGAGCAATGCCGTTCTTTTTAGTAAAAATCCATTCCCTAATGTTCAAAATAATTTTATATACAAATCCCAATCAGTTTTTCAATAAAAAGACTAAAGAATTAAGTACAAGGAAAAGAAAGGATAGTTGCCTTGCTCTCTATAAAGTCCTTATCGAGACTTTTTCTACGATTTAATTAATAGCAAATTGTATTTGTGTAAGGAATTTCTGATTAACCATCAGTCCAAAGTTAGTACGATAATCCTTTGAAAGGGTCATCTAAATTTTTTATATCTTTACTTAAGAATTAGATTATGTACTTGAAAAAGCAACCACCGGAAGAAGAATTCCACCCCAAGTTCTTACCATGCAACTATTATCTTGGGAGCAAAAACTATATTATAAAAGCCTTAAAATCACAGTTAATGCCTCAACCTTTCCTGCTTGATCATATCTATCCTTCTATATAAAAGTGGTTCTAATTTTTTAATTGTTTTAACCCTCCCGTCTCCATTATAGAGGTTCATTATCTTGACCAAACTACCTGATAAAAGATTAAATAATTGACATATATGATAATGAGATGAAAAAAAAAGTAATATAATTTAAAAATCAATTATAACCAAATATAAATAAAAAAGAAAGGAAAAAAAATCAAATTATCTTTTGTAATGATAATTCTCTTTGAACTAAATATACAAACTTATCAAGTGTAAGGCTCGTTGTGTGATTTGTTCTTCAATTTACAGAATAAAGGATTATCATGGTCATGAAGCATGCATATATTTACATGTTTTGGTAAAATATTATATAAATGTCATGCGCTTTACTACATGGATCAATATTTTTTTAATGTAAAAAAAAAAATCTAAGCTTTGCTAACTTTTTTAAAAGAAATAATTGATCATGGATTCAAAATATAATACATATTGAATGATAACTTTTTAAATATTAATACGGTGATAAATTAAATGTTATTTTTAAAAAATATTAAGATAATAATATAAATATTAATATGGTGATAAATTAAATGTTATTTTTTAAAAAAATATTAAGATAATAATATATTAAATCCACTCAAATTAACTTATCAAATTTGTTATCCCAGTTATAAAACCGAGATAATTCTATAAAAAAATCAAAATTAATAAATTTGTTATCCCAGTTATAAAACTGAGATAATTCTATAAAAAAATCAAAATTAATTTCCAATCAATTCAATATTGAAGAATAAAATTAAAAATAAAATATATTAAATTAAAAAAAAAAAAGACAACAAAACAACCGTTGCTTTTATATACATATGCTGGTTTCAATAACTTTGATTAATATTCAATTTTAATAAATGATTGACCAAAAATATTTAAGGATAAGCTTTAATATAATATAAATCATCATAACTATAACAACTTTATAATTTTTCTTTCAATGTATTTTTATCTTAAAGACTTTATTTTTTATTATAGATTTATTTATCAAGTTTAAATGAATATTAAATATAAAAATACTTTTATTAATAAATTAAACAGGTCTTACATTAATAATATCAATATTAGGTGCAACTAACCAATTGATTGCATAGACATAATCACTAACAGCATGCATGCATGTACAGTCTTTGCACTTGTTAAACTATGTAAAGACTTCACATCTAAAGACTAGTGTTTTGTAGGCTATTGGGTCAAAATTTCTTGAGTTCAATGAAGCAATATCTCATATGATACACCAAGGTTTGAAGAGGAGTATTTCATACTTAGGTAGTGATTTTTAAAAAAAATTGGATTGTTTTAAAAAAAAAAAAATATTTTTAAAAAAGTTTAAAATGATTTTTTATAACCCGTCTATATTTTGTGTCATAAATAGAAAAAAAAACTCTTTTGTACATGGTTTTCGGTCATATTCAATCTCGAAAAACCAAATCCCAAAACTATCACTTTGACTGCATCACAATATGAACTCTATGGATGCAATATCTCAATTGAAGCTTGTCAAAAATTAGGTTAGATAACTGCACCAAGAAAAGAGTTCATGATATCTATGTAGGTGATTGTCTCTGGGAAAACATGCTTAGTGTTTACATTTAGATACACTAAAATAAAAAAAATGAGAACGATGAGAACAACAACAACGAATGTTCTCTAGAGATCCTTTTGCCATCCAAGTTCTATTTTTCTTATTGATAATGGCATAATGCATATGTTCATCCTCCTGGCTCGAGGTTGAGGGCAAAATATGCTTTGTCAATCTGAAGTATATTATTTAAATTTATTAAAAACACCCTTGAAAGTATTTTAATTAAGTTTTATCATGAAGAAAGTTAGTGAATCACTATAATTAACAATGGTAATCACCCATCCTAGCTCACTTCATCCTTAATCCCTGCTACTATAGCATTTTAATTCACTGTTTGATGGTGACGAAAACCAAGAACACAAGAAGATAATCCAGATATATATATTATTGTTCAGTGCTGTTAATCCTTATGGGATTTTGTTTGTCTTGCATGACTCGCTGCTGTTTTTAATGTCTCTTGTAATTCTCAATTTTCATTCTTTTTTTCCCACAAGAACCTCTTTGGACTTTTAGTGACCTTACTATATATATATATATATATATATATATATATGCCAAGCAGTTGTAAAACAAAATCTCAATTAGATTTCAAAATTTTGTCTGATTTCGAAAGTATCACTATTAAGAATTCATTAACATTTTACACTAAGTGGAGAGCATGAGGTTTTCTTGGAGGATACCAAAGCAACATGGGAGATAAAAGGGCAAAAATCAAAACAGAGAAACCACAGTAAACCTGATGCGTGGAGGATTGAAAATTAGAATGTACTAATCAGTTGTGCTTTCCAAAGAAATTTTTGGCAATTATTTTAAAAAAAATCCACTAGAAATCTTCTCATGAAATATTATTTATTGAAATTATATTTTTTTTCTCCAACATCAATTATATATTTCAATATTAAATTTATTAGATATTAAGTTTTATATTTTATTTATTTATTTATTTATAAAATTATCATGATTTTATTATTCAAACTAGAGGAGATTTCATTGTCTTTTCTCGTAAAATATTACTCACTAGAATATTTTTTTAATATATGTTTTTTATTTTAATTTAAATTACATTCATTAACATTGAGTTTGTTAGAGATTAGGCTTCATGATTTTTTTAATTTATTTTATATAGAGTTATTCAAATCTTATAACCCGTTAATGAGTTAACTCATTTGACTTAATTTTTTTTTATAATTGACTTTTGTTTTTTAGATTCATCCTTCAACATTGAGTTTTTCATGATTTTTTTAATTTATTTTGTATAGAGTTATTCAAATCTTATAACATGTTAATGAGTTAACTCATTTGACTCAATTTTTTTTATAATTGACTTTTATTTTTTAGATTCATCCTTCAACATTGAGTTGATAAATAGTTAGGTTTTGTGATCTGTTTTGGTTTGCTTTATGAAGTTGTTATCGTTTCATGACTCGGGTCATAAATTTAGCTGGTTAACTCAAATTATTTTTTGTGTCCATTTTATAATTGATTTTTTTTCAATTTCATCTTTCAATATAAGATTGATTAGAAATTGAGGTTTATAATTTATTTAAATTTTCTTTATAATGAGTTATCCAGGATTTCACTATATTCATTCTCACAAAACACTATTTACTGAAATACTTTTTTTTTCTATTTTAATTGGATCCTTCGACATTGGATATATTGAGGATTTAGTTTCATGAATTTTTTCAATTTAATTTTTATAAAGTTATCCTAATCTCGTGACCTAGACTATAGGTTTAATGAGTTAACTTTATTGATTTTTTTTCTTTTTCTAATTGACTTTTTTTTCAAATTCATCATTCAACATTGAGTTGATTGAGAATTAAATTTTGTGATTTATTTTACTTTGCTTTCTATGAGGTTATTTTAGTCGCATGACTCAGGTCACAAGTTTAACAGGTTAACCTGTATTGACTCGAGTTGTTTTTTATATCCCTTTTTAATTGATTTATTTTTTTAATATCATCTTTCCACACTAGGTTAATTGGGGATTGGAATTTATAATTTTTTTTAATTTTTTTCTATTAAGTTATCTCAGTCTCGTGACCCAAGTTACAAATTAACCCAAATTGACTTGGGTTGTTTTTTTTAGTATTTTTTAATTAAATTTTTTTTAATAAAATCATTCAACATTGAGTTTATTAAAAATTAAGATTCATAATTTGTTTTGGTCTCCTTTTTATAGGGTTATTAGGGTCTTCTAACCAGATATGCGGATTGACAAGTTAGCCCGAATTGACCAAAGAGATTCATAATTTGTTTTGGTCTCCTTTCTATAGGGCTATTAGGGTCTTCTAACCAGATATGTGGATTGACAAGTTAGCCCGAATTGACCAAAATTGATCTATTTTATTGTCATCTCAATATTTATAAAAAATATCATATTGAGTATTTATTTTGATTCAAATTATGTTTTTATCGATTGTCTGGGTTGTCTTTACATCTACCAAATCTACTAAGTAATATCATGTCAATCCCCAAAAGATTTAAAAAAATATTCTAGTAGAAAAAATATTAATAATACCTAAATATTTTTCTAGATAAAAAATTAATATGAATCACACCTCGATAATCTAGTATTATTAAATATTGTACTAGACAAAAAATTAATATGAATCACATCTCGATAATCTAGTATTATTAAATATTGTAGAGCCTATTCACCATAATCATAATCACTGGCCAAGCTGACCTTTAGGTTAAGAATCAAATAGCCTAACTATTCACCATAATCATAATCACTCGCCAAGCTGACCTTTAGGTTAAGAATCAAATCAAGAACATTATGATATCACATAGATTAAATAATTATAAAAATAAATATTTACATAAAATAAAACAAATAAAATTATTAAAAAATATATATTTCTTCAACCCAAACTTCATTTACATATATATAAAAAAGGGTTACAGGCCTATAAAAAAGGGTTATAGGCCTTGCCAAAAAGATGGAGCCCATATGTCAGGCCAATTAAAAAAAAAAAAATTAACAAGCATGGCCTACAAGTTCATGCCATGCGTAGTTTTTCTTGTTTTACAAAAAACAGATAATATATTGTTGTTTTTTCCCAAAATACTTGCCCTAACAGCAGCCAAATTACATTTAAGATATAACTTGGGTTTTGACGCATTCACTCCCTCCACACCATATAGTTGCATGGCATCTAATGGCCCCCTTGTTGGCCTGCGTACCACATCGCAATCATTAGAACATGTCTTACAGCTTGAATTATACAATAATTACCATAAAATAGTTGGAAAGGAACTTCCTTCACTGAGTATAATGAATACTATACAAAATAAACTCCACATGCCAAGCAAAGTACAGATAAGCTGTACGTGGCTTGTCTGATTGTCAACCAAAGCCAATTTTAATTTTTTTATACGTTTTTTATCTTAAAAAATGTTATTTTAAGATAAAATGTAAACAAGACCGACGAGCAGATGACCAGTATGCAAGAATATGTCATCAATTTGGGTGGCCAAGTAAAATGGCCTTCCTTTCTGCCACACGCAGAGGTGAAAAGCACCATTATTGTTTTGTTAAGGCCACAGGCATCTTCAAAAAGCTCATGTGTTCACATCAGTTTATATATTTTCCATGAACAGGAGCTTATCTGCAAAGATACCATTTTGTAATGATTTATTTTGGAGTAAACTCCATTACAACAATAAGATATTAGCCCTTGGATACATAACACAGTGCATCATTGAAAGTGACTTGCAGAGATTAATTCCGAATAACTTCCTGTCTTTCTTTCTTTAATTTCATACAACTATGCCTAGGATTTATACAGTCAAGACAGGGAATGGAACAAGTCTCCATTGTTTTTAACAACACCAATTGGCACTCTCTCATGAGAGCCGGCTCTCTTCTGTCCTCCTCTTACCTTAAAAATACTCCAATCCAACCTCCTCCTCCAATTCCTCTCTTCATTGGTTTTATCTTTCCCTAGTACCATCAAGAATCACAGTGAAAGAACCTGTAGCGTAAAACAGAAACTTCAAGAATCCATTCGGAGCATATCGAGATCACCTGTACAGTAATAGCCAGGTAGGTCACTTGGCTCACTGGAAGAGAAATGGACAGGCTTATTGGTTTGGAGCCATCGAATCTTGTATCTATCAGAATTGAACCTGGACAGAAATGCTATGGTGAACTCACTCTCCGCAATGTTATGTACACTATGCCGGTGGCCTTCAGGATCCAGGCCTTGAACAAGACTCGGTACACGATCAAGCCACAGTCAGGAATCATATCTCCTCTGGCAACACTAACTATAGAGATCACATATCATCTCTCTCCAGGTTCTCTTCTTCCGGAGACATTTCCTCACTGTGAGGACTCGTTTCTTTTGCATAGCGTGGTGGTTCCTGGCGCAGCAATCAAAGATGCTACATCAAGTATGGATGCTGTTCCTATTGACTGGTTCACAGCCAGGAAAAAACAGGTGTTCATAGACAGTGGTATCAAGGTCATGTTTGTTGGGTCGCCAATTCTTGCTCATCTAGTTATGGATGGCTTAATGGATGAGATCAGAGAAGTACTTGAGCATAGTGACCCGGCATGGAATCCAGCTGATGCGGTTGATTTTCATGGGAAAACATTACTTCATATAGCCATCTCTCAAAGCCGAGCAGACATTGTACAGTTACTTCTTGAATTTGAGCCGGATGTGGAGTTTCAAAGCCGATCAGGGTGTAGTCCACTTGAGGCAGCTGCAAGATCTGGTGAGGCTTTGATTGTTGAGCTTTTATTAGCTCGTCGAGCCAGCACAGAAAGATCACAGTCCTCAACTTGGGGTCCAATCCACCTTGCAGCTGGAGGGGGCCATTTGGAGGTGCTAAGGCTTCTTTTACTTAAAGGAGCCAATGTCAACGCTCTCACTAAGGATGGAAATACCGCCTTGCATCTTGCTGTCGAGGAGCGTAGACGCGATTGCGCACGCCTTTTGCTAGCTAGTGGAGCAAAAGCTGATGTTCGCAATAATGGAGATGGTGATACACCCCTGCACATAGCTGCAGGGTTGGGAGATGAGAACATGGTCAAGCTGCTGTTACATAAAGGTGCCAATAAAGACATCCGCAATAAGAACGGCAAGATTGCCTATGATATTGCTGCAGAATATGGCCACGCTCGCCTTTTTGATGCCTTGAAATTGGGTGACAGTTTATGCATAGCTGCACGTAAGGGAGAGGTGAGGACTATAAACAGGTTGATTGAAAACGGGGCAGCAATCAATGGCCGTGACCAACACGGATGGACTGCATTGCATAGAGCTGCATTCAAAGGAAAAACCGATGCTGTGCGGGTTTTGATTGAAAAGGGAATTGATGTCGATGCAAAGGATGAAGATGGTTACACTGCATTGCATTGTGCGGTGGAGTCTGGTCATGCAGATGTGATTGAGTTGTTGGTTAAGAAAGGGGCGGACGTTGAAGCAAGGACTAATAAGGGTGTTACTGCTTTACAGATTGCTGAGTCTTTGCACTATGTGGGCATCATCAGAGTGCTCATTCATGGCGGAGCAGCTAAAGATGGCGTCACACAATTGGTGGTTCCGGCTTTACACTCTCCTTTCAGGAATGGCATGGCAGGGAAAGATGTGGAGACCAAACCAATGAAGAAGAGACCATTAAGGGCAAGAACATTGCGTGGTAGCTTTGATAGGGCAATGCCATTAACCGTGGTTTAGGTATAGAATGGATTGGGATATGAGTTTTTTGCTTCCTCACATTTTAGAACACAAATTGCAGTAGTTTTCATCTTGGGGGTTTAAAGATTTGTGGAAGAAGTTGTAGACTCATTCACATATATATGTTCATTTCTATTACCAAGGTATAAATTTATACATACATTAACGCTAGCACAAGCTTTGTGAAGGAAATTAAGGTGATATTCACTTTCTGTACTCTGTGTTATGACCTTCTGCCCTAGTGCAGTACCTTAATAAGAACATTGTATCAAGAGCCTGTGGCTCTGTCCAAGCGACTTGTACCACTTAGTTTGATTTGTCTCTCACCTGCAATCTGCCAGTCCTAACCATTATTTTCTCCTCGCCTAGTTTTCTTTATAGCTAAATGAAAATGGGTTTTCCTACAAGGAAATAGGCTCTGCTTCTATTTGCCTCAAATGATCTGAAAGTCCTTCGTCTACTGGAAAATTGGGTAACAGTAGAACCATCTTCTGACCCTTAGAGGATCAACCGATGCTCAAGAAACCTCGAACAAAATCTTTCGTATTGAAAGAAATCTTAATAATATTTGTTCAAGTGTCGGACTTAGAAATCCTTCAAAGCTTAGAATGTGGGGATTCGGTGAAAATGAGAAGTTATATGAATTCTGAAAAAATACAGACGTGTGATACAAAGATGAAGGAATATAATAAGAGTCGAAGCTATGAATTCACTAGTTGAATGTTCTTGCAATGCACCTGGGTAAATTATATCCAACACCGTAAAATTCTCAATGTGTGAGGGTAGAATGGGCTTTTGAGACATTGAGGGATTCAACATTGCTATGCTTCCCAAGCAGGCTTAGAGAGTTAGTAGATTGATTTGTGGCCGCAGGCAAAAAAACTTTTCTACGGTGAAAAAAATTGGATTTAATTAGTAATTTAAATAATATAATTAAAAATATATAATAATAATAAATAAATTGATATAAAATAATTAAAAAATAATAATAAGAGTTTTCTTTAAACCTATCCAATAGATTATAAAACAACTCAACAGATAAAACTAAAATTAATTAAAAAAACTCAATTAAATTAGATTATCTCGTAACTTATGAAAAAGTTTATAATTATTAGAGAGTAATAAATGTTACTCCATGAAATCTACTTTGACAAAAAAGATGATAAGGTGAAATATTATTATATTTTTTACCAAGACATAGATTTTATTTATAATGATACTAGCCTTGGTTTTTGTGTTTTACTGTGAGGTTGAACTATTTTTTTATTAAAAAAAATGATATTTAGATATTGTAAGTATTTATAAAAAAAAAAACTAACTTGGATTATAGATTTAATTGATAAAACAAATTAATTTTATTTAAATTAGATAATAAGAAATAGACAATGATGACAAGTAGATTAAATTTTAAAAATAATCATAATAACTTGGGGAAAAATATTTTGAAATATTTTATTAAACTCACGATCCAAATCATGAGATTAAAATAACAAATAAGAATTATAAATTTCATTTAAAAAATTATCAATATGTATTAACTTTTTAAATTCATAGAATTTCGGAGTATCCTATTCAAAAAAATTATAAAGTATAATTTTTAATTAATCAAATATTGAAAGATAAAATTGAAAAAATTATAAAGTTTAATTTTCAATTTCAATTATATTTTTATTTTATAAAGCTTAATTTTCAATTTCAATTATATTTTTATTGTTTTACTACAATTGAAAAAAAGTTAAACCTTATTTATTCCTTATTAATTCAGTAATAATTAATATTTGCTATGGAAAGATCTTAATGCTTTCAATAGCCCGTGAGATGAGAGGCAAAACTTTTATTACATTATTGTTCTAGTTGACGGTGGATAAACAGTATTTTTTAAAGTAATTAATCTTTTGTTAATATTAGTCAATGTGCATGGCCAGCAGTTTGCAAAGAGCAGATAAAACAAAATGAAAAAAAAAAAATCCAATTGGGCTTGAATAGAATAAAGCTTCAGGAGTCGTCTAATAAATAGATGTTTGCAACCCTACAGGCTTGAATCAAAATCATCTTGGTCCACAACTGAACCCAATATAAAATTTCTACTCGCAGTGTTTTTTTTTTTTTCATGCTTCTTTTTTCTTTAAAAAAAACAATCATTTTATAAAATAAAAAACAAATATTAAATAAAACAATTAGGTTGAATACGGTCCAAGTAATCATCGACCGGATGTGACGATAATGGAATTTACAAGTTAGTTAACGGAAAAACAGGAATTTTGAGAGAAATTATTTATTTTTGTTGAATTAAATATAAGTATTATAAGGCAAAAAAAAAAGGGGATTTGTACAGTCTGTGAAAACCCTAGAGCAGTGAAATGGGTAACCATAAATAACAAAATAGTCACATGCTTTGAAGGACACATCTGGACAACCCTCCATCTGAATAGATCTATTGCTGCTTTGCTTCGTAAATCATAGCCGAAGGAGATGGCCATGGACACTGATGGAATCATGACTTTGGACCGGTCCATGGAGAAGAACCCACAAGTGCATGCAACACGAAACAAAACTCTAATAGCATGCAGCGGTGTCTGCTGTGATTTTGCAAGGTGATAGAGCCATTAGGCCATGGTGTGGTGTTAATTACAATGCCATCTAAAAAAAACCCTAGCAAATGTAGTAGGGTAACTGGCAAATCCCAGGGGTTAGGAGGAGCCGATGGCTTTACTATACGGCTAATTCGTCACTAAATTGAATAATAAACATGTAACACATTTGAGGCTTAAACTATATAATATATGTATGACGCTAGGGTTAACTTTAGGCGCCTCAGTGGTTGAGAATGTATTGAAAAGGGGGAGTAGTAAAATGTAGCCATCAATGGTTGGTGGTGAAAGGAACATTACCAAAGCTCACCAACCACGCAAAATCTCCGACTAGGTTAGGGTTCGTGGTGGTTTTTTTGGTAGTCTTCGCCTACTAAAGCTGTTTGTTTTTCAAGTCTTGTTTCGTAGAGCACCATTTCCTGCCAAGTTGGGTGCGCAGACACCTAATGTTGATTGTGATTAGAAGATCAAGATTTGTCAAAATGGCCCACGAAAGCACCAAAAACGGATTGAATTTGGACGATAAGCTCACCTGTTGGACTTTTTTAGGTAGAGACTGCAAGAATTATAAGTTTTTTATTCTATAAGCTCGACTTTTGAGCCTGTATATTACATCATTTATTAGTATAATTGTAGTTTTAAATCTATTCTTATTCTTTTAACATATTCTTGAATCAATTTGAACGATAAGCACCGTGAGTCATTCCCATAAAGGAAGATAATGAGAGCATGTCCAATTAAAGAGATCCACTGCGACATTTGTAGACCTACTCATCTAGTTTCCAATGGAAAGAAAAAAGTATTTCATAGGCCTATTGTTAACCATTTCAAGGTATTTGGTTGCTTAGCCTTTTCACATTGTAACAGACTAGAAACGGGGAAGGCTTGATGATAAAGGTGTAAGATGCATCTTTCATGGCATAATTGATTCTTCATTGCTTCCAAGCTTTATGATCCAATCACTCAAAAGATTATCATCATTAGAGATGTTTTTTTATGAGAAAAGGAAGAGGAATTGGGATTCTAACAGGTTGGGATAACATAACAAAAACTTGTCCATAAATTTTGATCAAGAAAAATAAAACAGTGAAGATCATCACCAAATAACAGCTTCAGAATTTTCTAAAATTCGAGCGTCAACATGCATTTCAGGATCAAAGGAATGTGCATTTCAGGATCAAAAGAATCACTTAATTTTTTTTAAAAAAAAAAACCATTATGAATGATGAATACGTCAATAGAAATGAATTGTCTGATGAACAAGTAGCTATTCACTTTTATTTACTTGTAGAAAATGATCATATTACATTTGAAGAAGCAAGAAGCAATCATAGAAACAAAATGACACAATGCCATGAATTAAAGAGGAGATTCAAGCAATCAAAAGGAACCATACCTAGAGTTAACACGTATTCTAAAGGGGCAAAATGTAGTTTGTGTAAAATGGATTTACAAGATAAAAAAGAATGAGAAAAGTGTTCATTGTTGTTGAAAAGCTTTCACCATCAGTTCCTGATTCCAATAGCCTTCCTTTCTTCCGGCACATGTTTCATAATGAAGTAGGGTGAAAAAAGAAGTAATCCTCACTTAATAGTGTTTTATAAACATTAATTGATGATAATTTGTTTGGGTTTTTCTTAGGATTTTAAAAAAGAAATTGGTTTACAACTTGAAATTTAAGTGAAATCCAAGTGAAGAAAAAACAAAAATATGTTAAAAATTGAGGATTAAGTTTTGATTTTTATAAGATTCTATATTCTTTTAAAAAAAAAAAAAGAGGAGAAATTGTGCCGTATGGACAGTAAATTTTGGATGAATTGATTAGTTGTTTAAATTATTTGTATTATATTATATACTATAATAAATTCCTTCTTTTATAAAAAATAAATAAATCTTGTGTTGGCGTGTTAAACGATAAAGGGAAAGTATAATATAGTAAAAATCTTCGAAAGAAGAGTGATTGTTACTGATAATTTAAAATAACACTAAATTTATAATAAATACTGATAATTTTAATACATGTTAAAAGTGAAAATCACTTAATCCCTATGCATTAATTTTCTTATCTAATGTAAAATAAATTATCAATTATAATATTTGAAACATTGTCGTAACCCAATTTTGGCCCTTTAGCTTTTAATATTTTTAAAATTTGATCCCATCCAAACAAATCAACCTTAAATCTAGTTAATTTGGGATTAGAATGGAGTTGTATTGGTAAAAAACCAAAAGTAGTTAAAAATTCTCCTAATCTAGTTGGTTGACCCGTAAAATTCAGTTAAAAACTTAAATATAATTTATTGATTTTATTTTTATTTTTTATTATAATAATATTATTTTAATTTATAAAAAAATTAAGGTTAATTGAAGTGACCACGTAACCTAATTCTTATGCTGAGTTAACTACCAAACCAGATTTAAAAATACTGATTTGAAATATGATTTAAAATATATAATAGGATTCAACTACCTTTAAATCCGACCCGAAATTCGAAGGAGCGAGCATGAAGAGAGTTGGTGCCGGTTGTACAGGGCGTGTCACGCCCAAGTAAAGGCGCGTGCGATTAGATCTTGATTAGATCGTTGTCTGAGAGGCGCCAGTTGTAGACCGACACTACACTACGTGCTGAGAAAAAGAATCTGAATCTGCACATTAAATGCTCCCCATTCATCACCGACGCTATTTCGTAGAAAAGTCAACCTGCAGCTCACTAATTTTAGGTTAAAAGCAGTCCTTACTTCTTAACTCCATTGCATTTTGAGTCCTCTAATTGTTTTTCCTTAAGAGAAACCCTCCCTTTAATTCTTTCTCTTCTCTACCTGAACCAAAAAACACAGATACAGCATGAAGGTATAGCTTAACTAGTGAGATTTTAAATTATTTTAAAAAAAATTATTAATACAAATCTTATAAATTTAAAGGCTACTGAATCTTATATAATTATTAATTTTAAAATTTATAAAATTAATCAAAATATATATAACTTATAGCTCAAATACTCATAATAATTAAAAAACAAAAGAAATGAAGTTATTAAAATCATAACCAACAGGGCAGATCTTGCCTCAAGTTCTTTGGAAGACAACACCGATAAGGTGGTGTATAGTTTTCGATATTATTTGTTCGTTAATTGTTTGATTTCTTGTTAATTTTTGTTGTTTAAAATTATTTTTTTTAAATAAAATATTAAATTAATATTTCCATTTCTTACTTCACCTTTTATAGATGATTTAGAACTGACCTGGCCCATCAAATATGAAAATTGATTCAGTCTAAATATGTTAGGTGAAGTCGGAATTGTCAAATAATGCAGATTATCCATAGCCACCGAAACACTGATGGGATGAACAGTGCTATATGAGTTGGTGAAGTGTATTTTTTTAGTTTGGGTTAAATGTAATTAATTGAAAGAGATTAATAAAAATATTAATAAAAGAGAGGCTAGATGCCGATGGACACAAGGCCCACATGATTTTTAAAAGGCATTGAGCAAGTTGTGTACTTTTTTTTTTTTACCCAAAGAATTTAATTTTTAGCTTTTATTTTTTAAAAGCACCTCTAAAATACAATATAAATTTCAAAAAGCACTTAACAACATGAAATACTCCCAATTCTCTCAAAAATAAATAAAAAAATAAACATAATAAATAAATAAATAAATCTCAATCTATTTTTTTTTTAAATATACTTAAAGTGAAATACCATCTTCATTCAAGTATACTCGAGAAGAGAAATCTATCAACACAAATACCATCTCTTTTTATGTTTACAATGTCACCAACAGATAAAGTTTTTTATTTTTTTATTTTTCAATAACTTTTTTTTTATTTCTCAAATTTAAAGAGCAAAAAATAAATAAAATAAACTTTAGAATCAAAGTCAAAATTATAAGTACTCTAAGATTAGTCATGTATTTTATCTGTATTTTATATTATAATTCTTTTTTTTAATTTTATTTTTCTACCACAATTTAAAATTTTATCTCATAAAATTAGATTATAGAAATATTCAATAAAAAAAGTATAGGGTTGAAAATTATAAAGAAAAAGATGGGAAAAAATGTAGCCTTTCTTTTACTATATAGTAATTCTATTATTTTACAAGTTAGAAACATTATGCCACAACAAAAAATTGTTGCCCTCGCACCCGATTATAGAAATAATCTTGTTGGTTTTCATCCTCGAAAAATAATTATTTTTTTTGGTTTAGTGAGTTGGAAGTTGTATTTCGTACAAATGTAAATCTTTTGACCGGTGCACGAATCTATAGAAGATGGCATGTACTTTACCGGGAATAGTGATGGGATAAAGTTTGCAGTATTTAAGGATTTTCTCGCATTCCTCCTAGCCTCATGAAAAGGGGCCTACAATTTTTTTATTTATTTATTTTATTTTTTCCAGAAGAACCCTGCCAAAATCTTGATTCTTGATGGACTTGCAATTCATAAAATCAACTATAATGTAGATTCATATACCACGTTACATAAGAATCTCTTAAATCAAATGATGTTTTAGTAACAGCTAGAGGAATTTTTTTTCATCACCTATTGACCTATTTATAGTAATGATTTAGATTATTATTTATTCGATCATATTTTTTTAATAAAAAAATTAGATGTTGTTAATGTTTTTTTTTAAAAAAAACAATTGATATGTAAGGGATTAATATGATATGTCTTGGCCATCTTGGTATGTTCAAAGACAACTTAGATAGTAAGTGAAAATATAGTTTGACTCAAAATAAATATTTAAAATGATATTTTTTATAAATATTAAGATAACAATGTATTAAATTGATTCGGGTCAATCCAAGTTACCCTCCAATCTTCATACCAAATTACAAGATCATCATAACTCGTAAAAAATAAATCAAAATAAATTATGAAGCTCACTTTCCAATAAATTTAGTGTTGAATGATGAAATTAAAAAAAATCAAGTAAACCCGGGTTAACTTGTCAAACTCGGATTATGAAACCAAGATGACCAATTAAAATAAATTATGAATCCAAATTCCTAATAAACTCATCGTTGAAGCATGAAATTAGAAGAAAAAAACTCAATCTAAAAAAA